GGCCCGGGGGTAGGCCGGCCGCCCGACGCGGGCGTGCTGCTGGGCGTTGGGCTGCCTACCTCCCGGGCGTCCAGCTCTGGAGCGCCTGCAGGCCCGGGGGTAGGCCGGCCGCCCGACGCGGGCGTGCTGCTGGGCGTTGCGCCGCCTACCTCCCGGGCGCCCAGCTCTGGAGGTAGCCCCTGCAGGCCCGGGGGTAGGCCGGCCGCCCGACGCGGGCGTGCTGCTGGGCGTTGCGCTGCCTACCTCGCAGGCGCTGGGGCGGGCCGCGCTCTGCCCTGCTGTGGCTGGGAGCGGCGGCGGCTGCTGGGGGAGGTCCGTGGCTGTCGGCCCGGCGGCCAAGGCGGAGGGGATTAAGGCCTTGAAAGGAGCATCCTGCTGACGCCTTTGCCAAAGATCCTTATTTCCCCCTCTTTGCACCCCCTCCACCCGCCCCCCTTCCTCGCTGCCCTTACACGGAAAATAAAGAAAAAAATCGCCTCTCGCTCTTGCTGATTATTGTAAGCCCCTTTCCCTTTTTCCCTTCCCGCCCACTTTTCCTCCGCCCAGTTTGCGTTAGTCTTTCGTTATTGTCCACCTCCCCCGGTTTTGTTTTTTATCGGTTCCGTGCGTCGTGTTATTGTGGAGCTCGCGTCCGGGGGTGCGTAAATATTTGAGAGAGTCGGAGGCAGTAGGAGCGGCGCTCCGGGCGACGTCTCCTCCCCTCCCCCCGTGTACCGCACGCCTCGACACGATCAGCTTGCAATCGAACCGGCTGCCTGCCTTGTCTGAGTTTTCGCAGCGGAGGCGTTTGACACGGAAAGTATGCGGCCCGGATGGCGCATGACTCGACACTCCCCTCTTCCCACCACCCCACCCTACTTTCGTTTCCCCCCAGCTTTCCCCACAGTGAAAAATGTCGTCGTAAATATACAAAAAAAATTGTAAACTCGGAATGATCATTTAAGTTGTAAATTTACGAGTACGAGGGCAAACTTTTTACTCGCCAGAGCAGTCTATACGTACTGCATGTGTTTTTACGATAACAAGTTGTAATTTCACAACTTGCGTCAACTAAAATTTTCCTGTAAACCTTCCTACTATTTTGCACAGTGCGAGCTTAGCCGGCTGCTCAACAAACACTTTGCCATTCAAAGGATGAGAAAATTGGGACGTCGATTGCAGAAACATTGTCTTTTGATCTTCGCTGGGTCGGGGCAGCGCTCGGGGAGGCAGGGCCAGCAGGGCTCAGGGGAGAGTTGGCGAGTCCGGGAGGGCACGCCTGAAAGGTCTCTGAAAACTCTTTGGTAAAACATCCACTCCACTTATTTCTACCGTTTTCATCCTTCATTTTTCCCCCCTCTGCATTTTCCTCTCCTGCTCCCTGACACGGCCACGGGGCCCACGGGTTTGAAACGCTTTTGGCACGTCGTGCTTCGTTGAAAGAGCGGAGGCGCGAGTTTTCAACCACCGTGCTCTGCTGGGCTTCGCCGAGCTTCCCGCGCCAGCAAGCGGACGGAGTCGAGGTGAGGCGAGGATTGCTCCGTGAGCCTGCCGCTCGGCCTGCCGTCGGGGCCGAGGTCGGGGCGAACGGCTCTGAAGCGACGTGCCGTCGATGTCGTGTGTCGCGATCAGTCGTGGCGGGGCGGGGCGCGCGTGGACCAGGGAGCTCCTTTGTCTCCATTTCCATCCCTCCCTCTCTGTTGCCTGGTCTCTCTTGGTCTTGGGACAGCAATTTCGATTTGATCCGTAATAGGCCCCGTGGAAGCACCACGATGGCGGAAAGAGGGAGAAGGGAAGGGGACGAGGGGGGGGGGGAGAACGCGTCCCTGAAGGATCGTCTCTCGAGGCGACTCACCTCCACCGCAGTGCCGGGGGGCCCCGCCGGGGCCGGGGGCGGGTGGCGGTAGCGATCCCGGGTATTTATTGAGTGGGGGAAGGGTGCTCGGCGCGCGGCGGCGGTCTCGCTATAAGCAAGGCGAATAGCTCTGCGGCCGAGAGCTCCGGCTCTGGCTCCGCCCGCCTGGCGCTGGCGGTACTCGGGCGCGCTTGCTTGTCTCTCTGCCCTGCTGGTCCACGTGCCTACCACGCTTCACCCGCCCCACCCTGTGCCACCCGCCCCCCGAGCCCAAGCCGTCGGGTTGTTAACGTGATGAAAATTTAAAAAAAAATAAAAAAATGATTGTGTTGAGTGTTGCGCGTGGCACCTCGTAGCACCGTAAAGCACCGTCCAGGTCCAACGCCTCTCCCCCGTCCCCACCTCCTCGCGGCCCACGCGCCGCCCTGCCTCGACTTATTTTAATTTATTGATTCCAGCACTTTTTTGTTGTTTCTGTTCTGCCCTGTATATATATACGCTGACTTGGGGATACACACATCCTCCGCGCCGAACATTGCTGCTAACAATCTCGTTGTATCGATGCCGCTGGCGCCGCTCGCGGTGTGCTGCGGGGGGCGGGAG